AACCGGGTGCAACGTTTATTTGGAATCGTAACAATTTATTTCAGTCAAGTAATTGTCTTTGGAATCAACAAAATATTTCTTTGATTCAATGAATTTTTTTTCCGGATGCAGGAGATTCTGGAGTTCGCCCAATTAACTTTCGCAGGCGAAGTTGACAGTTTCGAACATGACTTTCAAATGATGACCAATAATGTCACTTCATAACACTGCACAATTTTTCGTGCGGATATATTCGCATGTGAAAAAAAAAATCGCAATGAACTCGAGTATTGAGACCATGGAAATTTGATCCAGTGTTCTTGCGATTCATAAAATAACGATGGCGAAATTTGTCATCCAAGAACTTGGATCAATCGGCGACGACATTTTTATTCCGAACGTTAAATTAACGATGAAACTTTTATACCGGTTCTTAAATCGGCTGACTCGTGGTGGAATTTTCATTTCGAATTTTGGATCGACAGTCGGCGTAATTTTAAGCTGAAATCAGCTGATCAATTTTTATATCGAGCTCGAAAGCGATTAAATCAATGGGGAAATTTTGTCATCTGGAAACTTAGATTAATAAGCGCCGGAATTTTTATTCAGGACCTTAAATTAAGAAGGAAGTGCATGTAACTACACCAATGGCACCCGGTTTCGGGTTTTGTTGGCATTTTTTGAATGAAATTGCGCCCCGTCGACAAGGAGGTCGCGCGGAGAAAATCCGGCCCGCGTTTCCGGCGCGGGCAAAAAGTCAGACCGCGATCTGCGTAGGAGTCCGGGAAAAACGCGGCGATTCCCGGGCTCATGTATCCGGCGGTTCTTCCGCGGCGACTCCGCGACGGGAAAGAAGGAGCGGCGCGAAGTCCCCGCCGATCGGCCGTCCGGTAAAAACGCGAGAAATGGACGATTTTGTCACGGTCGAGTCATTGATTGAAAATTACGGATAGACCGTATACATCCTCCCCTCGTCCCCCGTCGAGCGGAGGAGAAACGCATTCTCCGATCCCCTCGAGAAGGAAAAAAAAAAGAAAAAGAAAAAGGAATCGCATCGCCGCGGCGGATTTAGAAGTCGGAACGATTCGAAAGTCGAGGCAAAGAAATTGGGGCATAATCGGGGAAATGAGTTATGTCTTCCGAAGTTTTATCCAAAATTACATTGATTTATGTATCTACTTATATATTTTTTTATTTATTCATATGTTTTCGAGGTCAACTTGACGTCGACGCGACAGAGATGCGGAAAGGGAGGTTTCTACTGGAGATTTAGGAAAGTAAAATGACTGCGGGGGTAGAAGGAAAATTGTGCGGGATTTTTTCGCAGTTCCTCCAGATGAGCCACAAAAATCGCAATTCGCGCGATAAATTGCGACTCGACTTTTCGGCGATCCAGGAAAGCAAAATGGCTGCCGGGGTCGAAGGATAATTGTGCGCGAATTTTTTGGCAGTTCCCCCAGATGAGCCTCAAAAATCGCAATTCGCGCGATAAATCCCGACTCGGCTTTTCGGAGATCTAGAAAAGCAAAATGGCTGCCGGGGTCGAAGGATAATTGTGCACGAATTTTTTGGCAGTTCCCCCAGATGAGCCTCAAAAATCGCGATTCGCGCGATAAATCGCGACTACGAAGGGAAATTTTGCGTGACTTTTTTGCAGTTCCTCCAGATGAGCCACAAAAATCCCGACTTCGAAAGATAATTCTGCGTGATTTTTTCTGTAGTTCCTCCTGATAAGCCGTAAAGATCGCGATTCGTGGGATAAATCGCGACTTCGTCTTTTCGTAGATCCAGAAAAGCAAAACGGCTGCCGGGGTCGAAGGATAATTGTGCGCGAATTTTTTGGCAGTTCCTCCAGATGAGCCGCAAAAATCGCAATTCACGCGATAAATCGCGACTCGGCTTTTCGGAGATCCAGGAAAGCAAAATGGCTGCCAGGGTCGAAGGATAATTGTGCACGAATTTTTTGGCAGTTCCCCCAGATGAGCCTCAAAAATCGCGACTCGCGCGATAAATTGCAACTACGAAGGAAAATTTTGCATGACTTTTTTGCAGTTCCTCCAGATGAGCCACAAAAATCGCGACTTCGAAAGATAATTCTGCGTGATGTTTTCTGTAGTTCCTCCTGATAAGCCGTAAAGATCGCGATTCGCGGGATAAATCGGGACTTCGGCTTTTCGTAGGTTCGGCTGGCGGTCGCCATTGTGCCTCGATTTATTCCGGAGCAGTAGGTAATAAAATCTTTCGGTATTCCTGCCCGGGCACGACGCGATACGTAACGCGGACGTAATGCAATATACGAACAAAGCCCTGGGAGAGAAATATCGAATGTCTGCTGGAAACCTATATCAAACTTCTTGGCTCCTGACTAGCGCGGGTTTCGCGTACGACACGTAACGCGCCTTCTGTTGGCTCCCGACCAGGACCAACCGCCGATTGCCCGGAAAATCATTTTCCAGACGAGTCGCGAATAGCAAAGAGACCGAAGGTGACGATTGACTTCGATTGAAATCGACTTTGACACGAGAGGTGGAGTCGATACGCACAGAAAAAGAATTCAGTCATAAGAAGAAACGCTGCAACAAACGTGAACCCTTGAAAATCGGCGGCAAAGAAACCCCGAGAAATCGATCGGAGATCCATTTCATGACGGAAGATCGATCACCGAGAATTCGGCCGGAAGTGAGAGTTTGCGCACAGTCCGGCGCGCAGCCAGGTCGCCCGATTCCACGTCGACGTTTTTTAACCTAACGCAGATCGACTTTGAGAAACCCATCGGTTCCCTCGGATGGTGCCTCGTGACAATTCCAAAAAACATTTCAATAGATCAACGATCCGCCTTAATTCTCGCTCGCACCTTCCATTTGCACGTGGAGAAACAAATTTGGTTCGTTGAACAAAATCGCCCGATTGACTGCATTCGGATTAATGCTAGAAAACTCTTCTTTTTATAAAGGGACATTTTTCCTCGAACAATATGCAGGGACATTAAAATGGCTTAGAGGGTACCAAATCGCTTTAATATTTAACGTGATCTACCATGACATTTGACGCGATTAACTATTATTAATCAAAGATTTTAGTCACGTCAACCAAATATTTCGTCGTATATATACACCACATTCTATGGTAGATCCAATAAAAATTGGGTCGATCCAACCGAATATTTTTCTGCAAGTACGCAGTGACTGTTATTGGAGTCCAGACTGTCGGGCAGAAATAAATGAGATAAAATGAAATAAAATGAAAAAAAAATTAAATTAAATTAAATTAAATCAAAGCAAAAATCCCGGTACCTCCTAAAAAGCTATTCTGGAGGTTCAAGTCGGTCTAAAGAATCCACCGGCAAAATTAACCCGAAATTATGGGGATCATCTCATCGACAGGATGTACCGGGTTCCTAGCTGCTCCCGATTGGTCCAGATACCCAAAACAGAAGTCCATAATATCCAGTCTCTCCCGGTCCCGTCCGAGATGGTCCGAAGTGGTCCGGGATGCTGGGCGGGGGTGGTCCAGGGGTGGATTCGAACGAGCTGGACGCAAACCCTCGTATAGTTGTGGTCAGCAGGCGTGACGGCGAGTAGGGCAGAGTTAGGCCGGGGGTGGATTTGACTCCCCCCTCTTTGCCTCCCTCCACCCTCTCGGTGTCATCGTTGGATGGTCCGATGGCAAAACCATCCCTACGGCCGGCGACCGCGCCGCGGGGATGCGACCATAAACGCGAGAGCGAATTGATTTGCGACCGGAAGTGCTTGTCGTTTCTGGTAATGATCGCCCGCTCGACGCGCGATCGTCATTGTCTTCGACCGGGACCGATCGGCGAAATAACGTCATCGACTGCCCCAAAAAGGGACCCGACATGGGCTCTCCTCGAGGGGGTCTCTCTGCCGAAGTTATTAAAATCGAGGAATCGTCCAAATCAACTGATTTCGCATCAAGAAATTTTTTAATATTAAACAAAAAGCATCCAACGAAATAAAAAGTATCATCAAATTAAATATATATACATAGGAAATTTTTTTTTTAATCATCAAGGTCCCCTTATAGGGATAATACAGCCAATGATAGGGCCTGGTAATGATAATAAATTTGGCCGGATACTCTAACGACGAGAGGTTCAGTTTTTCCCGAGTTACTTACGAATAATCACCCCGAAGTATGGACTTCTGGTTCGCGTCATCCCGATAATGGAGCCAGCACCCCAAAAGAGTGCAGCATCCTCGGGATTTCATCGGCCACTAGTGTCTCGATGAAGCGACGATGCAGGGGTGTCTGTGCGCGGTGTTACACATGGTCGAGCTTCCCAGGACCAGGGGGGAAGTAATTCGATAGAGTCCTCGCACGTCGTAGGAAAACCGTCGGCAGCAGGTCCCGTCATCGACGTCGCGGCGAAACGTCATCGAATCGCGCACCGAGACGTGCCGAACGACATATGCCGCGGTCCAGAACCCTCCATTACGATATTAGCTCGCCGTTATTATATTAGACGATCTTAATTCACGCACCCTTAATCGAGTAACGGGCTCTGGATGGCTCGGAACGACGCAACGGGGAAACGTTTTCCCTTTCCGGGGTTGACTCCTCGCAGCGACCTTGTCGCTGCATTCGTGCTTTTGCAGATTTACTGCTGAATTTTTCCAGCTTCTACCACTAGGATCGACTCCTCGCAGCGTCCTTGCAGCTGCATTCATGCTTTTGCAGATTTGTTACCGAATTTTTCCTGCGCTTTCTATTTTTCGCAGCATCCTTACCGCTGCATTCGTGCTTTTGCAGATTTGTTGCCGAATTTTTCCTGCGCTTTCTATTTTTCGCAGCGTCCTTGTCGCTGCATTCGTACTATTGCAGTTTTTCTGCTGAATTTTCCCTGCCTTTTCCGCCGGGGTCGAGACTTCTGGCAGCGTCCTTGCCGTCGCAAATTCCCTGCTGAATTTCGCGATTTTATTTTTTTCCCCCTGAATTTTCATTTTCATCTTTGTTGCTAATTTTGTTTTCGGGTACTAAAGACGATTCTCCCTCTGTTTCAGGTCACGGGGGCGTGAACCAACTGGGTGGCGTCTTCGTCAACGGGAGGCCCCTGCCGGATGTCGTGAGACAAAGGATCGTCGAGCTGGCCCACAGTGGTGTCCGGCCTTGCGACATCTCCAGACAACTCAGGGTATCCCACGGCTGTGTGTCCAAGATACTGTCGAGGTAAGTCCTGGCATCCGTTTCCGCGGAAAGCGTCGCCGTGACCCTCTTGGGGGTGCATTTCGCGCCCTCTTCGAGACCCGCGGTTCGTCTTCGTCCCTCCGACAAGGCTCCCGATAAGGGGTACGTTCGATAGAGTCCCCTGAAAAAATCGGGATTCGCAATCCAGGAACCAAGAATTCCCCAGTCATTATTCCAGGAGTTTTACCCTTCTCAAACCGACCCTCGAAAGATTCCCAGAAAGTGGAGGCAAGAGTCCAGAAGACGCCGAAGAACGAGGCAGCCCCGAAGACCTCCGGCCCGGAAGAGCATCCCTCATCCTAGCGAGACTGGAGATGATTCAAGGGGGATGATTTAATTAAAGGAAACGCGGAAAGAAACGGCACCCCGCCGAGGCCGGAAGGAAGTCGCCGGGTGACGGAGCCGACGCGATGCGGTTTCCATGTTTTTTCGACCCCTCGGCAGCCCTCGCCCACCCCTGCCGACCAACCCCGAGACGGGTGGCCTCGTGCCGTTTTGATGGCCGGCATATCATTCATCCCCCGCCGCGGGTATATCGTTGTCATACGCCGCTCTCGACCCCCACATAATAGGCCGCGGGGTTATTTACTGCCAAAAATCGAGCTTCCACCCCCCTCCTTCTCCGCTCGCCCTTTTCTTTCCACCTTCGCGGGGGTGGAACAAGATTTCGCGTTCCGTTTCCCCTCTTTCTCAACAAAAATGGACACAACCGGAATTTCACCACCGAATCGTACGACGCAAAGTGGAAATATATAAATATAAAATATTCACAATGCCGCTCTCGACCCCCACATAATAGCCCGCGGGATTCTTTACTGCCAAAAATCGAGCTTCCACCCCCCTCCTTCTCCGCTCGCCCTTTTCTTTCCACCTTCGCGGGGGTGGAACAAGATTTCGCGTTCCGTTTCCCCTCTTTCTCAACAAAAATGGACACAACCGGAATTTCACCACCGAATTGTACGACGCAAAGTGGAAATATATCAATATAAAATATTCACACCGGGCAACAAAAAAAAATATATCTATCGATCAAAATAGATATTCCTCAGAATAGTACCGAAGAAGTGTCTCGTCAATTCCAAGATAATAATTATTTCACTCAGATAAATTGCCGTCATTTCTCGAATAAATCTTGCATCCGATTTATTCGAGTTCACTTGAGTCGAGTGATCCTTTGATTGAACGAAATATTCCTTCCGGTTCAATGACATTTCCTTCCCGGTGGAATGATTTTCACGTTTTAATCGCTTAATTACTGATACCTCGTACGGAGGGAAGGTCTACTTTTCCTTTCATTCCTTTTGTTTCTCTACCCCTCCTCTTCGATCGACGCCTCGCCACCGCGGTTTATTACGGATTTAATTAAATCTGATAGCAGTGCGTCATTACCTGGCGTTATCACGGTACTCGAACTGCATCGGCGATACCCTCGTCTGCGGACATCGCATTTATATTGGACGCAAAAAAGAAAGAAAAATGGGTAAATTCTCTTGACAGGGTGATAAGGGGACACTCGATCCGCGGAAAGGGGGGGTGGGTGGAGGGTGGACTTTTGCGGGAATAATCCATATCGAACAGCTCGCAGTCCTGTTACGTATTGCGTCGATTTCCCAAGCCATTGCGCAATCTGAGAAAAAAGTCAGGGTTTCGTAACGCAAACCGCGCATAAATAAAATTCTATAATCGAGGAGGGGGGCTTAATAAGTAAGAGGTGAAAAATATTAGCGAGAGCCATTGTCAACTTTCCGGGGATCATGTAATGTCGCGGCCCGACGACATCGTCGCCGCGACGGCAAGAAGCCCTCGGGGAGAGAGGGACGCCTTACGTAATTCCCTGAAACGCGACTTTTACCAAAAGAATTTCGCCCGCCGCCGTTTCCGCCGAGAAAAAGCGGCCTAACCTGAAACCGCGACCTAACCGTTGGGCAAAAAATATAGTTCAATTTACTTCGTTTCATTTTCTACCCTACATTTACGTATGTTATACGTCGTCTACACGTGGTGTATATTTTCTTTCTGTCTCTCCTTGGTTCTAGTCTAGGATAGATAAAAGAATGCTTTCTTTGAAAAATGAAATTTCACGAGCATCGCGTACTTCCTTAGGGCCTTCGTGATCGCATGATTCTAAATTATTTGCTACGCCCAATTTGGAGGAAAGTTTTACAAATATATTCAGGATTTATGTACATAGAGTGACCCTTTCGTTTCACCTAAACGCGATCAAGACTAGCATGTCCGCTAGCGGTCCCGATAATTTCGAATTGGGAATTTTCATCGAGGAGGAGCTTTCGGCAGAAGGTCGGAGAAAATCTGAAATTCTTCGACCCCTAAAGTGGGGAGGATTTCAATAGTACCGCGTGGACGCGACCACGTGACTCCAGCGGACCAAGATGGCGGCGCGTCGGTCGTCGTATCTCGGGTATTTCGCGAAGGTTGACACTCACCGTCTGGTCGAATGTTTACAGCCCGAAAAGACGTCGTCGAGACGGGGTCCTCAGACTCGACGGTGCCGCCGTTAACACGCGTTTTACGCAGTCACGCGCCGTTGGGACGCAAAGGAACTTCCAGGAACGGCCGCGCGGCGACGCTACCGTCGCCGTAAATTAAGGGCCGACGACGCGCGAGATTCGGCCCTCGAAATTACCGACGGAGGTCCCGGGGTGTCCCGAAAAGAAGTCCCAGAGGATCCGCGAGGAGACCGCGGAGGAGACTCCGCGATTCCGCCGAGCGGAACGCTTTTTAGCCCCTCGTCGGCAAGAGACTCCTCTCGATCGGCCCCTTTGTTCTCGGCCTAAGGTCGCGCTCGGGACGGCGAGGACGGATGCCGCGCCTTCGTGACTCCTCCCGGGCCTCGAGCGGGAAACGTGATTTACGGGACGTACCGGGAACGCCGGAAGTCCGAGGGACGCCGGTCGACCAGGCCCGAGTCCTCTCTTGGACGAGGGAGCCTCGTCTCTCTTCCGATGCGTTATTCGCGTCATCGTCCTTTGCTTCGGTGAAAAAAAAAATCTTTTTACATTCTATAAATCCTCAAATTTATACATAACTTTATATATAAAGTTATATATATATACTATATATAGTATATATACCCGTCCCTCGATTTACCGTGGGTATCGAATTTTACGTGAGAGGGGATATAATATGCTTGATACGTATGCATTCGCGTCACCGTCCTTTGCTTTGAGGAGAAATTAAAAAAAAAGATATACATTTTCAGGAATTTATACATGAGTTATAATAATATATGCACTGCATTGAAGTAGAATAGGGGATATAGTGTACTGTGTATATATATGAACGTTTACAATTTTTCGTTTCGACATATCGCGGCTTTTTCCGCTGGAAGCGCTGAAAGGGCACCGTTCTCCAAACGGAACCGCCGCCATGTTGGTTCCACGCATCGCCGACGTGAAAAATCGAGCCCCGCAATGGCGGAAGGTCGGCTGGAACAAAAGGGGCGAATCGTCGGCGGATGCGCGCCGCCATGTGCGACACGGCCGGGGTTTTAACCGGATATAATCGTAATGATTTGCCGAGTGGGGCGGACCGGCCTATTTAGAGGTAATGATCGCGGCCGCGCACAGCTTTTTCGGCACAAAATGGACGGCGCTTTGTCGCGAGGGGCTTTTTGCGGGCGATACGTGTATTCGCCCTTGTGGCGGTAATACCGGAATAATCTTAATTCTTTCAAAGGTATTCGAAACTCTGCCGGAAATCTCGTATGATCGGTTCATGATAGGACTTTCAATGTAACAAATGTATTTGGCGCGAAACTCTGCCGGGGATCTCGTTTGATCGGTTCATGAAAGGACTTTCAATGTAACAAATGTACTTGGTGCGTAACTCTGCCGGGGATTTCGTTTGATCGGTTCATGAAAGGACTTTCAGGGTAACAAATGTATTTGGCGCGAAACTCGACCGAGTATCCCACGGCTAGGTCCACGGAGGGACGCGCGGCCGCATCCATCATGGCGGGCCACAACCGAGCCATTATTGCGGGACTCGCGTAATTGAATTTAAGCGCGGGCGAAGATATTGTTTAACTAATTAAGCACAAAGGGCTCGTTGAGCATCGCGCCGACAGATAGGATCGGCCGCTGTCCGCCGTGCGACGGGGGGTCGTTCGTTAAAACGACCTGCCGACCGACGAGTCGTTATTTCCGCGCAAAGGATCCCGACGTCGGCCCTCCCTAAAGCAACGATTAAGAGGGCCGATCGGTGATCGATGAAGATCTTGGCGAACCCCCCGAGTTGCCTGAAATTATTCTCAATGAATTTATTAATACCCTCGGTTCTCGCCAACGGAACTTCCACTCACAATTTCTATCTCAAATCAGATATCTCGAATTTTATCGGTACGAATATTTTCTCGACCGGTATTTTTATTTCATCGTTAAGGGGATGTGAAAGTGGCATCCGAAAGCTCAATCGTTCATAAAACTTTTCATAGAACTGAGTGTCTCAAATCGTTTCATACTTTAAAACGTGAATATGGAGACCCTAAGATAGGTCCTGAAACTCACAGAAGTTCATTTTTTATAAACTATTTTTAAAATAAAGTTTCATAGTATTTGGTAAATCGAGTTAGGAGAAAAGTTTTATAAACAAAACCTCTTCGACGCCACTTTCACATCACCTTAATAGATTTAGAAATTATTTTCATAAACGATATCGCACTTTCTAAGCACTAGGAGACGGGGAGCTTAAAAACCATGCGTGATATTTGCAGATGTTTTCTCGACCGATATTTTCATTTCACCATTATTTCATTTAGGAATTATCTTCATTAACGATATCGCGTCCTTCCAGGTACTACGAGACGGGGAGCTTCAAGGCGGGCGTGATAGGGGGGTCGAAGCCGAAGGTGGCGACCCCCCCGGTAGTGGAGGCGATTGCCAACTACAAGAGGGACAACCCCACCATGTTCGCCTGGGAGATCCGGGACCGATTGCTGGCCGAGGGGATCTGCTCGCAAGACAACGTGCCATCGGTGTCCTCGATCAACCGGTGAGTCCCGAAATCCGCGCCAAGATAAAGAAAAGAAAAATTCAGCACGTAAAAAAGAAATTCCGCGTCCCTATCTTCAAAACAGGAAAAGTAGGGAAAAACGGGGCAATTCCCCCCCGGAGGGTCCGGGATAGAAATACCCCCCTGCTAACTCATTTGCGTGGGTTTCCATTAGCGGGTCTGAGTATCGAGTTAGTGGATTTCGCTTGTAGCCGATTCGATGCGCATTACGGTCGATTTTATTAGAAGGGGGCGTCAAGAGTGCCGCTCTCGAGGGCGCAGAGATCGAGGGGGGGTGCGGGAGGGGCCGACACGAGGACACGACCGGCAGATAAAGGCGCGAGTAGCGACTGATTAAATCTCGGGACATATGCGAGCGGATCGATGGGGGCGCGCGCTCGGACCTCTCTCTCGCGCCCGCGCGCCGCCGCCTCGCTCCGTCTCTCTCCCACTCACGGCGCTGGCCCGGCCGCGCCGATACCCCGTAATGCGGTCCCTTGGGAACCGGCCCCCGTGTCGGGGCGCTGCACCCCTGGGGCGGAGTAAAAACACTTGAATTAATCGGCCCGCTCCCGGAGGAACCTGCGAAAGGTCAATGGGATATGTCGGGGCGCGCCGGGTGCGCACTTATCCCGATCGCCGATAACTAATCGCCCCCCCTGGACCGACCGGGACATATGTCGGATTCCCTAATTCCGAGGATTATCACTCCGTTAGAGGCGCTCCCTAAGGATCTCAACCCTGATACTTTATTCCCGATAAATAACCGAACTTTACATTTCGAGATAATACCCATCTTCCAGGATTAATATCAATTGAAAGTACCGGTACTTTTCTGATTTCATTTGATCGAGTACTACCCTGAGAGGAAAAAAGAATGTCATTTGGCCACAGAAATATAACGATAATTCAAAGAATAATTATTTCAGTGAAATAAACTCGAAAAAATTGGGCCGATAAGAATTCATCGTGTAGTTCTTTAGATATGCCCGGGATAATTTTAGCTTTATAGGAATTGTTTTAACGGGACGTCGGTGCAGAAAAATTCGGCCGATAAGAATCCTTTGCATTGGGTCGCCAAGGCGAATCCTGGAAGCGGCAAAATGGCCGCGTGGGCCGCGAGGTGAAGGAGTTTCTCGGCTGGCCACTTTGCGAGGTCGCCTCTCGAATCCGAATCCGAATCCAAAGGCGGGTTCGAATTCGAATCCGAAGCCCGAGGTCGACGTGTCCGGGATTGCAGCCGAGGGCGCGCCGGCGGCTTGTTGCTCGAGTGACTCCTCCACCTCCGGGACGCGTCTCCTCCTTTTCCTCCCAAGCCGGGCCCAGATGGCGGGTATTGATCTGAATCCGGAGAGCAGATCGCCTGGAAAAACTTACTCCGAGGATACTTACCTACCCGACCTACGCGCCACCTACCCGACCCGACTCCGACCTACCACCTACCGCTGAGGGTCGGCCAAGATTCACCCCGAAAGGACCGAATGCGACGTCCATATTGAAATCCCGTGCGGGGAGATGGGAGAATTCTTATTTCGAAAAATACATATAAACACGGAATAAAGGAATTCCCAGTCGTAAGTTATTTTATTTTCCGCAAAAAAACGTGTAGACTTGTAAATTAGCCAGCAACATTTTTGTTACACTGACAACGAAAAAACAAGATAATCTCTTAGAGGCAACGCTAATTCCACTCATAGTTGCAGTATTCTTACTTGGCGACGACTAATTATATATCGCTCATTCGTTCGAGGGACAAGGATATTTTTCGGCTGTTGCAGTAAATTTATTTGCAAATTTTACCTAGCATTTTTTTCTAAAAAAAAGCACTCGACTGGTGGAATGAACATCTACGATTCGGTATGACTGGAAACATTTTTGTTATAGATAGGAGAAAAATTTTACCGATCCCGTCCTTTGCTAAAAGTGCAAATCTCTTTTTCCGCGTATTTTTGAAAGGAACCTCGGTAAGGAAATTCAGATCGTTCAGGAAAAACGGAGAAGAAAAAGGGGAGATACGGAACTATCCGCGTTATTGGATATATATCGATGTTAGTTCCTTTCCTTTTTTTAAATCGATGCGTCGACCCGTCCGCGTCGAGAAAATGGCCGACCGGTGAAGGCGTCGGTTCGGACTTTCTTCGCAGAAAATATCGAACCCCGACACGTACTCCGGAAACCACAAAGAAAAGACCACAAAAGGAAAGGGCCGGGAGAATTTCGGGAACCCTTTCAGAGCAGGTGGACGGCTGGAATTCATGGACGCCGGATTATGTCTCCCCCTGAAGTTCCATTCGGAAATCTCGAAATCGAGACCGACTTCGGAGGTATTTACGAAAACCGGCTAATTTCCTGCCGACATTGCTCGCGACGAAGTCTCGGGGAACAATGGCGGTTTTTCTCGGCTCGAGGACGAGCGGCCTCCCGTTCGCCGGGATTCCGGCCATTATGAGCTTGTCCGCGTTTTTCCCGGCGAAGTTGGCTTTCGGGTGGCGGAAAAATAATGATACAGCTGATATAATGTATTGTCCTGCTTTGCCGGGCCACTTCGGAGTGAGACGACCCCGCGGCGCGCAAAAACCGGGCCGGGCCGAATGAAATAATGGAGTGGCTCCGCGAAAAATAACCCCCATATATCCGCCGCTATGGGACAGAAATGACCGGGAAAACAAGAAGAACATAGATCCGCTAATCCGAGTCCTCTTCGGATCCTCGCAAATACGATATCATACATAATATCCATAATTCCTTGGGGGAAACCTCCGACTGGTTCAAAGGCGCCAGTCATCCCACGAAGACTCAAATCGGGCCTTAAAAAATGCCTGATAACGAAAAACAAGTGTTAATGGTTTCTCCAGATATATATATATATATTTATTTATTTATTTATTTATAAAGATGAATACATCTACCCTACCGAGTCCACCCTGAGAACAAAATATCATTGAACCAAAGAAATAACCCGTTAATTCAAAAAGTAATTATTTAACTCAAATGAACTCGAATAAATCGAACGCAGCGTTTCTTCGGATTGATGACAATTTCTGTTGACTCGAGTCAAATAATTGTTATTCGAATTAACAAAATATTTCTTAGGCTCAGTAATGATTTCTGTCAATGCAGAAAATATAACCATTATTACGATGTCTTTAATGAGGGTACGTCGAAGAGTAAACATCGTCGCTTAAATATCGTTTATTTTTCAATTTCTGTACATAGGACTTTTTCTTCTTCCTTCAGCGATGCGGTCGGAAAGCGCCGGGAAAGGGAGGTCGAGTCGGCGGATTTCGGGGGGAAATATTGATAGGCTCGGGTTCGGGTGCGGAGTCACGCTCGAGTAGGCGGCGCTCCAGCAAGGTCCGTCTCTCTCGGGCGCGCGGGAGCGACTGGCGCGAGCTCTCGCGGCGCCGCGAGGAACCGCGCGCGTGGGTGGCACCGCCGCCCCCTCCTCCCCCTCCCCCGCTCCGCCGAGAGTGGAGTCTCAGGGCCAGATCGATAAGGAGCGCGCTTCGCCTCGGACCTCTCCCTCCCTCCCGCCTTCGCCCGCATAGCGCGGTCTCGCTCTCGAGCCCTCCGCTTCCGCGACTCTCTCGCGTGCGTGCCCTCTCGCTGAGACCCGCGAGTCGATACTCGGCTGGACCGCGGGAGGGAAACGGAGGGAAATTTCCGCCTCTTCCTGCGGAACTCCTGGGGACGCGCCTATAACCCAGAGACCCAAAGGCGGCCGGGAAAATTCCTGATAGTCAAACCTTACTCAATAGAGAGATAAGAGGTAATCAAGGTGACACGAAACCAGCATCCGGAAGACCTCTACCCTGAAGACAAAAAGATTGATTAAAGCAATTACATAATGTTATCTGAATCATATATATAAGTACAAGGGAGAATTATTTTGCAGGGCAAAAAATGATATCGTTGGTTTATACAAATTTTGTTTACTCATCCTAACGTTTCTTCGGACGTATTTGGTCTTAGGAGTTTTTTGTGGCAGTGTACGGTTTTTTTACTCCACTTGTATTTCTAGGAGTGTAAAAGTGTTTGATAAATTGCACCGTATCGCTTCGATATCAAGATTTTATCACGTGTAGAGGCCCGATGATGGTCCTAACGCCCATGAGATGGAAATCTTTCGGAATGTAGAAAATGCTTATAGGTGAATTAAGTAAGAAATCGTATGAACTCGAAAATCAGATCCCCGGTCAACGTTAAAAAGTCGTGCACGAAACTGTGAATTTCGCATGCGAAAGTTAAGGTGATATAAAAATGCGATATATACATACCAAAAAAGTGAAAATATTAATAAAACTTTTCTCCAAACTGGGCGCACCAAATTATCTAAAACATTAACACTCGCTTATGGAGGCACTAAGGAAGAACGCGCTGCCCGTGAAATTTAATTTTTCGAAAAAAAAAAGAAAACAATATTTTTTCCCAATTTTTGTCCGAGATGAGTGGAGAATTTTTTTCTAAAAAAGAAATGTCATGCGCAGCGCGTTACTCCTTAGGGCCTAAATGATCACGTGTTAAACCTTCGGATAATTCGGTGCACCCAGTTTGAAGAGAAGTCTTATAAATATATTTTGATTTTTTGCTACGTAGATATCACACTTTCATATCACCTTAATCGCATGTACTCGAGAGCTGACTTGGTGGGGGAGGGAGCGATGGGGGTAAAAAAGAGCCGTCCGAAATCGGACTTAGATCGACCCAATGACCCGCGAGCGCAGCGACAGTTGGCAGAAAATCTGCCGTCCGGAATCCCACTCCCGGGAATTGTATCAATCTGTCATCGCGGCCGCCCTCTTACCTCCGCATCGGCCCGATCTCCGGCCGAGCTTACAAGGGCGGCTCTCCATTACTTCCGTATCATTTCGCACCCCGCGAGCGCGCGCCGCCATATGGCGGAGCGCGCCACCCCCGCCCGCCGGTCGGCCGGCCAATGGCGGGCACTTTCATGCCACTTTCTGCCCCCCGTCCCCGCCGAGCCGCCACGTATCACCCTC